TGCCCGTGGGAATTGGGTGGAAGTTCTCCTCCTGCCGCCAACGCCCCCCCCTTCGCCTTTGCCCACTCTTGAGCATCTGAACTGTGCGGATGCCCTGCCCCGAGTAGTTCTTGAACGGGATCGCTGTCGAGGGGCGCCAAGTACGTGGCAATGGGTGCTCCCATGAGCGTGCGCAGGTCGGTCGGGTTCGAGAGCTCCAGCTTGGCCATCACCTCGATCAGATTGTCGAGGTTCTGGCGGCTGCCTCGAGGCGGCTGTCGACCACCTCCACCATTTCCTCCGTTGCCAGCAGCGCCCGCGGACGGTTGGTCCTTCTGGCCGTTGGCTTTCTTGTGCGCGGGCTCTTGGACCGGGCCCAAGATCCGCTTGCCCACCCAGGCGATGCGTGAGAAACTTATGTGCTTCACAATCGCAAACTCCGAGCTCATGAAGAGAATGGCTTCTGATATGCTAAAATAACCCCAGGTGGGGCCTCCGTCAAATTCGCAGATCTGGCACCTGCAAGACTGAGCCCCCACCGCCTTCAACGAAACGGATCTCCCCTTAACACAATATCCACGACCCAAGGACCCCGAGAGATGTCTAGCCGCCAGGATTTTGCTAGCGAGAACTCCCAAGCAGTGCGGACACCGATTCGAACTCACCAGTAAAGACGATCGGTTCCTAAGCCCATGCCCATGCCGAACGTGTTAAAGTAACCCCCTTATGCGTGATAAAAGCTCCCCCACCGATCTGATCCCCTACGAGACATAAGACATTCGTACGTCTGCTCATCTTCTCCTCGAACCTCGGGACCCATTTCAGGCGCAACATTAGATACATACCCAGGATGAGGTATACGTGCCGCAAGAAAGGCCCCTCGAAAAAAAAACCTGGATTCAACGTGCAAAACTCATGCGCAGCATCTCTATCACGGAAGAAGAATACCATGGACCCGTTCGCAGCCTCGAGTAAATCTTCTCTCTCGCACGCTTCGCACAGCGCCACGCAGTCGTTCCAGGCCTGAACGGCCCACGGATTCGCCTGCTTTGAGACCTTGCCCGAGACGTGATCAACTGTGTCGAAACTCTCGATCGCAAGCCGTCCGGACACCACTGCAACCTCCTGTGCATGATTCAGTGGATGGCGGATCCAAGCCTGCAGCCACTTCGCGCGAATAGCTCTGCGCTCGATGCTGGCCGGGCAAAGCTTCCAGTATCGAAGGACTTGTTCATTCGATAGATGTTTGACGTGTTCCCCTGAGCCATCGGAAGCTTTTCCCTGCGTCAGCACTCTGGCGTAGCGCGCCAGCGCCGAGTCAAGCCTGCGAAAATCCCACTCAGAGACAACAAACGCCTCCAGATTCGCACTTGTAGCGTTCACACATCTTGCGAGCAACGTGCAGCGCCTCCCGCGCCGCGGGATGCCATGCAAACTCCAAAAACGGCACGTCTGATGAAAAGCCGTCTGGGTGGCCTCTAATCTCTGAGTCGCCTCCGCCGAACTCGACCCTCGACAATGCATTTGACCCCCCGGGCTTCGTTTAACTTCATGAACAGCCCCCTGAATCGGAAGCCCTTTTTTTACGCAGTATTCTTCTACCAAGACGCATTATGCCTGTGACCTCCTTCTGATAATCACCGATCTAACATTTCACTGGGATGCAAAGCTTTGTGGCACAGCTCAAGAACACCTGCTACAAATCCACGAACTGCCTGATATCTACCTCTCCAGGGAATGACCAGGACATCACGATGGGCCCAGGGCGCCTCAACAAAAAGCTTCCCGGCGTCATCGGCATAGCCCGTTAAAGACAGGTCGACGCTAACATCAAGCAGAAAGGGATGAGCAGCGATAAGCGCCTCAACCATTGGATCATAGTCTCGTCGCAAGCTCTGCCACTCTTCACTAGTAGGTCTGAAAGCACGACAAAAGCCATGCGCCACGTACGGGCCCCCAACAATGCCCCCATCTTCGTTTTGACAGTGACGTTCCCCCCCCCAATTGGAAGTCGAACTGCGGCTTCTTCGAACCGCTGCAGACCAGAAGCTCTGCCAGCGGGGCCCATCAGCTCCGCGTTCGCAAACCCCAGGGCTCGCCAGGAAGAGGGGGCAAAAGCGCGGGCCATATCCTTACTCTGCAGAACGCAAGAAAGGCCGCAGGCGCGTGCTCTGAACATACTGCACTGTTGGACCAACATCGCCACATCCTTCCTCCGCCCCCTGCAGAACCCACGCTCACAATCTCCCAGCTGGTCGGGCAGCCTCGCTTGATTGCAGCAGCGAAAAAAACCTTTGCCGATCGCGTCTAGTAGGTGCCCAACTCTCTTAATCGCGGCTCCCATCGGCGTGTTATTTTTATACGAAGGGCAACCCCCTGTCTGCAATGCCACCCCAGCGGCGCTCTCCCAGGCGAGCATATCTTTCCGAAACCACGAAGCAAGAGAGCTCGAAATGCTTGCGGGGCGAAACCGCTGTTCTCAGACTGCCGCCCCAGACCAGCGTTCCTGAAGCAAAGTCTGTCTCGAGGTCGGCATAACATAAACCAAACTTCAAGCGGTGCTGTTTCAGACGGAACCACTCTCCTCCTTGGCGCGCGCCTAAGATACCCGACCACTCCCTTGATCATCCCCTCCGCCTCCTCCACGTACTCGCCCCGCTCCCCGTCGTGCGTAGCATTCCCTTATCCTTCCCCTCTCGTGCTCCCCCCAGTCGATCTCCGCCGCCTCCATCCCCCCCTCTCCGCCAGGGCGGCCCCAAACCTCCAGCCATTCCTGCTCGGTGAGGCAGGGCCCTGCTAAATGTCGATAGGTGCGTTTTTTTTGCCCCCCCCCCAAAAAAAAAAAAGAACTGCCAGCGGCCAACCTCGAATAAAGGTTCACATCCACAAACTTCCTCTGCCTCCAAGCGTCTTGAAGGAGTTCAAGGTGGAACCTGCGTTTTGCATCATTCTGAGCGGGCCTAGTCATGTGTGCCAGCCGGGTAACTGCACGAAGCTGAGTCGCAACCTCCTCCTCCTCCTCCTCCTCTCCCACCTCAGCCAGGCCGAGTCTAACACCTCTTTGCGTCGTGCTAGCAATTCCCCCGTTGACGTCGAATCTCCAGCACGTCATGGGAGTAACTTTCACAATCGCCGTTTATGGAAAGGCCTCGCCGAACTATCAGCTCGTTGAGGGCAGAGAACAAACTATCTGGAGTTCTTTCATTCAGCATCCCCTTTAACTCCAACTCTCACTCATCGCACCCTTCGTTGATGGCTCGAAGTAGTTCCGTCCTCCTCACTCCCTTCATTCACCCCTCCATCAGCAGATTATGATCCCATCCCGTCGCCGCCGTAGGCGTGGGATCGCGACTAAAACCAGGCAGCGTGCGCAGACAGGTGACCTCGGATCGTACGAGTGTTGATTAAGTGGACCACCCTTCCTGATTTGTGTAAAACACCCGCCCTCTGCACCCTGGCTGCCATGCTCGATGGAGCGAAGATCATGTCCAACCGTTTGCACTCCCCCCTGTAACCATACCATGTGTTGGTGAGGGGCTTATCTGCATCAACGAAGGCGACATCGAATTCTTCTAGAAGTAGCCGAAGCTTGTGCCCAGCACCACCCCTCCATACTTCCAGAGTAGATACCTCTGAGCGTATCACCGACGAGTTGGCACACTCATAACTACCTGCGGCCTCCTCCTTCCCCATCCCGTCCTTCAAGTCCACGGGCAGTATCGGAATCGACCGTCCCCTGGCCTTCTGAAAAAGAAACACTTCTCAGCCATGTGATCATCCTCTGGGCTGTGAAGAAATAGTTTGCACGAGCTCGACGAGATGTGGGTCTCGGGGGGAAGTACGCTCCGACCACTGTCACATCGACCATGTTGGCCTTAAGTCGGAGTCCAAATCCACGACCCTGCAACTGGCGTGGAGGCAGCAACGGCGGGCCACGAATAGATCTCTCTGATAAAATACAACTAAGCAAGATACACATCTCAACCGCCTTGGTGACGAAGGGGGACGGGAGCCAACCCGCCTGCACCAGCGTGCTCTTGCCGATCCTGCGCTTGGTGGTCTCGCCGTCTGGGGCCGACCGTTGCTGAGTGCCGACCAGCACCGTGACATCGAACGAACGAAACAAGCATTCCAGATCTTCCAATCGATCAGTAGAAGACGCACTGAGCGGGTTATAAGCCAAGACTCGCAACCAACGATAACAGGCAGCAGCCTCAACTCCACTATGCGCCATGGAAGCTGTGAAGAGCCTCGGACATGAGATGTGCCATGCGCATGCAATTCATTGAGCTGCCCTTTCCTCCCCTTGTCTCATCACGGCAGCTGGAGGAGGAGGAGGAGGAGGAGGAGGAGGAGGAGGAGGAAGAGAACGGGGAGGGGCGCCCGCGCTGGGGAGAGAACGCCGCCCCGGACGACTGGAGTAAAACGCGGATGCTGAACATTTCCGTCGTATGTTCTCCGCGACCCGATGTGATGAGCAGGGGGCGGCGGTCCCGGCATTCCCATGGGCCTACCACGGAATGTTCTAAGATGAAATCAATGCTTGAATACCAGAAACAAGGTTCTTAGAACATAGGGCCGATGCATCCAAAGAAGACAGTCTCAGCCAGAACTGTTCTAAGAACATGTTGTGCAAACCACAAAAGGTTATTATAACATTCTTTGGTAGGCGTATAGGCAGACCAGGACGCTTCGTCACTGCTTGAAGGCGGGGAGAAGGAGAATGAAAGGAGCAACAGTGCAATAAACATCAATAACTGTTGGCGCTTCGCGCGAAGTTCTCGGATCTGCGCTGGATCCCCCTTCCTGGCGCCCGAAGCGCGCCAGGGGCGGCGCCCGAGGCGCCGCCGGGCGGGGGAAGGGGCCGGCGCGGATCCGAGAAATCCGCACGGAGAGCGCCAACAGTTTGTGTTGTTTTTTCTTCTTCGAAGCTGGGGGGGAGGAGAAGGAGGAGGGGGAGGGAGGAGGAAAGACGCCGGCAATGACAACGATGAAGGCGAGAAGCGACGCTGGCGCACGGCACCCTCTGTGGCCGGCTGCCGCGCGCCGCCCTGCTGCGCCTTCTTCCTCGGCTTGGGCCGCGCGGCGCCCCGCACCAGCATGTCCTGCAGGATCGCCACCGCATGTTGGCGGTCCTGGGCGGCGAAGGGGGCGGATGGGAGGGGGTCGGAGTAGTGGGGTCAGAGTAGATGGGGTCGGAGCAGATGGGGTCCTAGATGGGCTCGGAGCAGGTGGGGTCGGGGTAGATCGGGTCCTAGATGGGGAGGGAATGAGGGAGGCTTCCTAGATGGGTCGGAGTAGATGGGTTCGGAGGGTCGCGCTGCATCGCCGATACGTCGGCGGTGCATCGGCGATGCATTGGCGATGCACTGGCGATGCATCGTCGACGTCGGCGATGCATCGGCGACGTCGACGTGAAGCAACTCGGGCTCCACATCGAGCCGCATCGACGATGCATTGGCGATGCAGCGTTTTCCTCCGACCCCACCTACTCCGACTCCCTTTAGGCCTAGATCAGAGGAGGGACATATGCCGATAACGATGTTCGTCCCGACGAACCCTCGTCGCCATGACTGGATTCTCCTCGAGAATCTGGTCAGAACGCACCCCAACAGGGGTCCTTGGAGTAGCGTGTCATTAGATGTTTGCCCCTGCCGCCGCACTCACCTCGCGAATGCCCCCCTCCCACCCTAGCCATCCCCCTCCCGCTCCCCCTCCCTCAGGCGGCGTTGGCCGAGCCTGGGCACGAAAGCGGTTCGAGGCCGGCCCAGTGGCAGGTTCGAGCGCAAGCTCGGTGCGGACACCGTTCGGCGCCAACTGTCGGTGGATGCGGACGTACCTGACACGCCGGGCCGCAGAAGCCACTCGTCTCAAAGGTGGCCGTGTGCCAGGGCTGCGGAAGGGAGGGAGGAGAGGATGGCGAGGAAGATGCGGAGAAGAGAAGGGGGGAGGATCGATCCTCTCGTCCGCCTCTTCGTCCTCCTTCTCGTGGTCGTCGTCGTCCTCCCCCCCTCCTCTTCTTCTTCTCTTCTCCCTGGAGAACGGGAGGTAACGAAGGAGAAGAAAGGATGAGATGGGAGGAGGCAGGCGATGTGGGATGATGAGGGGAAGTCCGAGCACGAGTAGGAAGGTAAGGAGGACGAGCAGGAAACATGTGGACTAGGAGCGAGAGAAGTGGTGGAGGACAGGCGGAGAGAAGAGTGCAGGGAAAGGACGAGCATGAGAAGACAACTGATTAACACAGGGAGGGCTGCAGGGAGGAAGAGGAGGCGGCACAGGAGGATCAGGGGTAGGAAGCGGGGGGGACGAGAAAAAGGGAGGCCGAGCAGGAGAGAGGGGAATGGAGGGTGACGAGGGAGGAGGAAGCGCAGGAGGGAGGAGGAGGGACGATCAAGGACCAGGGAGGAGATGAGAGGGGAGAGGTGCCGCAAACTCTTCTTTGCCGGAAGACCCTGTCTGTGCTAGCTATCCTCATCACACCCCTCGCCCTGGACACCAGCCGGGGCGACGGCTCCTCTTCGCGGTGCCCGCACACGAGCAACGCGTGGGAGGTGCTGGTGTCGCCCTGCAGGGGGGATGGAGGACGAGGAGTGAGGATGGAGGAGGGGGGACGACAAGGGGAGGAGGCAGGAGAAGGGAGGACGGGAAGAGAGGAGGACTGGAAAAGAAGAGGATACACAGGGAGAGATGACGCAACGCAGAGAGGGGGGGAGACACAAGGAGGAGAAGCACAAGGGGAGACGGGGAAACCGAGCCTGGAAGAAACAGAACGTGCCGGTCTCCTTCTCCACGTCGCGGAGGGAGGACGCCTTGCCCCCCTTCCCCTCGCGCGCCCTCACCCATCTACAACTCTTCCAGTCATCATCATCAGCGGCAGCAGCAGCGGCAGCAACATCAACGGCAGCAACAACAGCAACAGCAACAGCAACAATATCAACATCATCACCACCAACATCATCATGACTCCGGCTGCTTTTTTCCAGACCACTGCTTGCGGAGACCGAATGTGCTTTATTCCAAACTAAATCAACCCCAGATTCTGGAGTGTGGGAATGTTCTGGGTGAGCCAAGCGGCCTATGAACAACGGACGGATGTCGAGATCGGGTCACTACCTTGGGCGCAACCATGACTCCGACTGCTCTTCTCCAGACCACTGCTTACGGGGACCGAGAGAGCTCGATTTCAAACCAAATCTGCCCATTTCCAGGACCCCCGCAAGCAGCACTGGCGTGGCGAATTATATTCGACGGTCTCGTAGCTATAGCGCATTAACTTACAACTTGCGACAGGAAAACCTACCCCGGAAGCCCGAGATGAGTTGGGGGAGAGGAAGGGGAGAGAAGACAGGCCAGAGCTGACGCACAAGCACACTCTTCATGGAATCAGCGAAAGCCTGAGATAGTACGAAGCAGGGGATAAACCTATGTTCGACGAGTATGAAACCCTCCTCCCCCCAGCGCAGATCGGGAGGTTTTCCTGAGAACGTGCATTTACCTCGACCAGTACACGGAGCATTCGCCAATATGGTACATTCCGCGTTGACAAGTTGAAGCCTCGTCCTGGCTCGCCACGGGGTGCTGAACGCACAATGATCTATCACATGACCAAATACAAGGGACGGCGCGACATATCAGGGCGACCATGAGCAAGCAAGAGATAAGACTGAGCAGGGTTCTCTTCGCCTCAGGGTACGCGACGCACGATGCAGGCCTGAAACAACACCCCACTTCTGTGGGCCAACAGGTTGCCTTCCGAAACGATTGGTTTGTCTCTGGCAGACAAGCTGGGCAGGCCAGAAGGATACTCATGCGAACACAGACGATGGGGAAGGCGAGACCACTCTGGGGCGCGACGCGCCATCGTCAAGCTCTGACAAGACGCTCCAGACCACATTCTTCAAACGATACCCGACTTTGTACAGCCGAGCAGCATCGGGAAGACCTCATCATTCAACAAGTCGTACTGAGGCCCATGACACATATCAATACATATGACCGACACATTGCGACTGGCCAGCGCCTTGCCAAGGGTGCCCGAGCCAGAGAGCAGCTCTATGATGACCCTCCGCCCGCAAGGCCGCGGCTGCGCAAGAGCTGCGCTCAGCGCGCGGCGAAGGGCCCGACGCCGCGCCCCACAACCCTCGCGATCTTCACCTGGACCGACGCCGGGAGCTTGCCGAGCTGCAAAGAGACCCGCGCGTGCCTGTCGTATCGAACAGCACTGCGGAAACTCCGCCAACGCCCCCACTGCTGCACTGCGGAGAGGGAGCGCGCCTGCACGAGCCGGTCGTGGCTGGCGGCGCCCCCGTGCGTCAGCGTACACAGCGTCGGCTCGACTGAGAAGACCCCCAGCTCGTCCACGGCGTCCGCGAATGACCAGTACAACTCCCGCGAGCTGACGTCGAACAGGCGTTCGGTCCGACCACGACCGCACCTCAGAGCCTGCAGGGCCAGCTCGATAGAGCGGGCGGTGGCGCTCCGGGTCGAGCAGCGCGCCCTGAAGGCCCCCTGTCCTCGACTGATCGCAGGCGAGACCAGCCGCGCAGCGCATCATCACCATGATCATCATCACATTCTTGCTTCCCCACTATCGTCCACCTCAATTTGCCCACATATCCCCATCCTCCTCGTCCCCCCCCTCCCCAGCTCCTCCACCCCACCTTCTGTGCCTCATCCTCCCCTTGCCTTCCTCCCCTCCCACGAAATACCCCTCATCGACCTCAATATTTTTTCCTTCCCCACCCACGGCTATTCTTCCTCCTGATCGTTCGGCTCCCACCCCATGTGCTGCTTATCCTACTCCTCCTCCAACTCCTCATCATTCTCCTCCCGGCCGTACCTCCTCCTCCTCCTCCTCCTCCTCATTCTCCTCCTCCTCCTCCTCCTTCTCCTCCCGCTCGGGATCGAGTGCTCCTCCACACCAGGCGGCGTCAATTGGCGGCAAACCAAAGGAAAACGCAACAAAAGATACGGCTTCCCAAGAGGGCAAGAGGCTTCATATAATGGTTCCTCCTTGAACGCAATACTCTGCTTGCCTCGTCCTACTATCGTGCGCGTCGCGGATCAACACCGGTGAAATGAATGGGTCTGCAATCGGAGGCAATGCCTTCCGAAATCCGAGATCAAGGTCCGCCTTTCTGCCATCGAATCCCTCGACCTTCTCACCACGCGTCGCACCATCTTCCTAGTCCTCGCCTCTCATCCCTGCCACAAGAAGAGCAAGCAAGAGCAAGTGGACCACTCCATTGCTGGCACCTTGGTCATCCCTGCCATCTCGTCGGGAATCTCCACCACGGTGATGTCGCTGTGGTTCTTGATGTCCACGTGGATCGGACCTCTGGCGTGCAACTGTGATTTGGTTGCCCTGAAGTCTTCGGGCGCCTCTGGAGGTTGGAGAGAGCGACTCCTGCGTACGCTGCCCTGGTGGCAAAATCACGCTCCACTCCCCTGGAACCAGGACCCCCCTCCCCCTCCGAACATCCCCCCCTCGTCATGGAAGCGGGGACGCCCTCCCTTGACTTCGAAAAGCCCCCCTGCCTAATACCCCCTCTCCCGAGGCTGAAAGTCGGGGGTGGAGGGTTGGTTTGAACCCACTCGCCACTCCTGTCGCCGCCAGCAAACAACGTCGACAACATCGACGAGATCAAAGTTGCCACCGTCGTCGCGGAGCAAGGAGGAGAAACAGCATGAGGGGGTTGGAACAGCAGGAGCAAGAGCAGCTGCACGCGCTGGGGCAAAAGAGGAGGATGAGGAGGGAGAATCGGGGACAGGATGGGGAACGAGTAGGATGATCAGGATTAGCAGGAACAGGACGACGACGACAAAAACGAAGGGCAGCGCAGACGTAGCTTCGACCTGTGCGCTGCTTCATGAGCCAATGCAAATAATCACGCGCCCGGGCCCTCTCCGCCATGGTGCCGGCCATGTACGCGACGTTGCCTGCTCGCAGGACGGAGCAAGGGAAAGGCGAGGTGGACGAGCAGGGGGTCTCGGAGGTTCAACCACAATTTCCTACGCATGTTGGGCAAATTCTCGTCGCCACGACTTGGACAATGTCCTGCACATGGGACAATGTCCTGCGCATCCCGGACATTTTGAAAACGGTCCCGAAAGCTGGCCAGGATGGTGCACGGAAGCGATCCTGGAACTGCTTCTACGCAGATTTCTGCACCAGGATGTGAGGAAGAGGGTGAGAAGCAGGACATTCCTACGCCCTAGGGGAAGACTTCATTGGAGGTGTCCATAAATCTTTGAATGTACCAAAAAGAGTCCACAGAGGCCTCTGAATGTCCCCGGAGGCCTCTGGTGGCCTCCGAAGGCCCGAAAACACCCCCCCAACAAAAATCCTTAACATCTCGATCCTCTATCCGCCTCCTCCTGCTCCTCCTCCTCCTCCTCCTCCTCCTCCTCCTCATCTGAGGATTCAGAGGGAAGATAACTAATGGGATGATCCTGGAAACCGACCTCGCGAAGAATCAGGGCTGGAACCTCAACACCCCCCTCTGCGCGATTCCCTCTCCTAGCCAGGTCGATCCGTGGTGGTCCCCGTCCGTCGTCCATCCTCTTTTGTCAGCCGTCGGTCGTGCAGTCTCTCTGCGTCCTACCAGGGGGCTTCTCTTCGTCTGGTTGGGGAGGCCGGTTGAAGAATTCCTTCTTCTTTGATCGGTGCTCTCCTAGGTCCACCAGGGGCACCCAAAGGCCTAAGAGAGCCCCAAACAGAGCCCTCCACCGAAATGGTCCCGACATAGCCAAGCTGGCCCAGGTAAGCTGCCATGCTCCATCACTTCCCTGATCAATGCAACTCGCCTGGGCATCGCTGCTAGACTGGCTGGTGGGGATGCGCGAGACGTCAACAACAATTCCCAGCCTGTGCTTCTGTAATGTGTACCCAATCGTTGTAACTGGAAACTGTCTGCACGTGCGGTTTGGCCAACTATCCCGCGACTGTTCAGACGCCCTGGGCGTCGGCGGGCGAACGTGCGGAAGGCAAAGTGTGGAGTCCAGCCTATCATTTGCACCGGCTACTCTGCCCGTCTTTCCCTCGAGACGGACAGAACCGATGACCTCTCGTGCTCTCAAGTCTGGATGCAGGCCCAGGTCGGCGTGAAAACCGTCCAAACACTTGTTCCCCCAAACAGAACGGAAGCTTAGGGGTTCTTACTCGTTACAGTCGGGGCGTTGACCTAAGGAACCTTAAATAAGGAACGAGGCCCCTTTTTTTCCATAACCGAAAGTTCGATCCCCCATCGAAGACAAAAGAACAAACTAAGGCAAGCTGCGAAACAATTAAGGAACACGGAGCCCCTCCCCAACGAAAAGGGCTCCAGCGCCCCGACTGTATACCCATCTGGCCATGCCTGCGGTTTTTTCGCCCCCGTGCCGCCCCCGTGCGGCCACGTGCCGTCCCCATGCCGCCCCGTGCCGCCCCGTGCCGTCCCCCTGGCGCCCTGTGCCGCCCCGTGCCGCCCGTGCTGGTGCAGAATCGCTTTGCTTTGCAGCGCGTTGCCCTGCACTCCTTTACATTGCTGCGCGTTGCTTCGCATTGCGTCGTTTTTCGCATTGCATTGTTTTGCACTGTTTTGCAATGCTTGGCTGTGCATTGCATTGTTTGCATTGCTTTGAACTTCATGACTGTGCTTTGCACTGCTTTGGTGTGCTTTGCATTGCATTGCATTACGTTGCACTGCGTTGCATAACATTGCGTTGCATTGTATTGCTTCGCATTGCGTTGCGTTGCATTGCCTTGATGTGCGTTGCGTTGGGTTGCTTTGTTTTTTTGCTCTAGCTTTGAATTGCGTTGCTGTGAATTGCCTTGCGTTGCTGCGATGTGCATTGAATTGCATTGCATTGCATTGCATTGGTGTGCATTGCTTCGTATTCCATTGCAGTGCGTTGCTTTGCATGGCTTTTCATTGCAGTGGCTTGCATTGGTTTAGTTTGAATATCCTTGCATTGCTTTGCATTACATGGCATTGCATTAAATTGATTTTCTGTGTGTTGCAGCGCTTTGCATTGCATTGCATTCTATGCATTGCTTTGCAATACTTAGCATTGCGTTGCTTTGCATTGCTGTGCTGTGCGTTGTGTTGTTTGTCTTTGCGTTTCGTTGATTTGCTTCGCGTTGATTTGCATGACTGTGCATTGCTTTGTGTCCGCCCGTGCCCGTGTCGCATTGCATTGATTTGCATTGCTTTGCATTTCTTTACGTTGCTGTGCAGGTGCATTGCAATGGTTTGCTTTGCATTGCTGTGTGCTGCATTGCGTTGCTCCGTTCTGCTTTGCATTCCTTTACTTTGCTGTGCATTGCTTTGCGCTGCTTTGCTTTAATTTGCATAGGTGTGCACGTTTTGGTACTGTATTGGTTTGTTGTGCATAGTTTTGCTTCGCATTGCTGCGCGTTGTGTCGCATCGCTTTTGCATGTTTTGAATTTATTTGTGTTGCATTGCTTGGCAACGCAGTGCGTTGATTTGCAGTGTTTTTTTCCTTGCAGTGCTGGCATCAACCAACAACCTTTAGGCCCGAGAAGATGTCAATATCGAGTGTTTCAACAACATATAAGAAGTCGCAAAGCGGACGTTCAAGAAACAACGAGCGCGCGCTCTTGCGAATTCTTAAGGCAACCACACGTCCTCAACAATTTAAAATCAATAGTGCCAAACGGGCTTCGCGCGCGCAGGCCAAAAACCGTTCGAACGTCTTTGCGCGCGTGCGTCGCGAGAACCGCTGGCAAAAAATGAAGCGAAGTGCGCTCGCGCGCGTTGCCGCGCGCGCGTCAAAATTCAAAACCGAATTTACCAAAGACAGTCAACAACACATGATTTCGCAACATCAGTTCCCCCCCAAAAAAACTCTCGCGCGCTGGTTTGGCGATGTTAAACATGTACGTGTGTATCTATATGGATATACATATGTATATATATATATACACATAACTTGAACAACTCTGTTTTTCAGCAGGTTCATCGGATTCTGCCAAACTGGGCTCTGGCACCGCGTGCCGACAATGTTCGCGCACCTTTGCGCGCGCGCTGGTGGGGCACGATCCATGCCAAATAAAAACATGCGGCCTACTATCGCGCGTCGGCCGCGCGGCATGCCGAACTCTCTCCAAAACCTTCTTCGCCGACGCGAGGACGCCGACGTCGTCGCTGGCGTGATCAGCATTGGCGCCCGCCCGGGCCGCGCCTTCGTCGGTGCGAACATCGCCGCAAATATCGCCGCTATCACCGTTTCTACGTCACTCAGCGTTGCCATGATACCACGCCCGCCCAAGATTCCGACTCGCAGTGAAGTGCCCGCTGGGATGCGCCCAGCGGTCAGCGCCATCGCGGCCGCGTCGGCGGCGCCAAGCTAGCTGGCCGTTGCGCGCGCGTGCTAGGGTTGGCGCGGCCGCGTACGCACCAGCCAACGTCGAGCGCCCGTCGCATGCGGCACCGTGCGGGTTTTGCAGACCAAGTTGCGGGCGGGCGGGATGTTTGCAAAAGCGTGGGAGTTGACAGCCCACTGCGAACAGAAATGTCCTTTCAACAAGAATAGGTTCTACCACCCTGCCCCCCAAGGGTTCAAGACCCCCGGGAACCAAAAAAAAACGCGCAAGATTTTGACCCAATGTCCATCCTACCCGTGATTTCGTACTATCCCAGCCGAACCGGTATCGGTCCCCCCCCGCCATCCTCTGCAAAACAAACTATGCGCGCGCACTCGTTTCTCAAAAATCAGAAGTCTTCAAGAATCCCTCGCAACATATGGGCGCTCGCGTTGTCGCGCGCGCATGCCGAAATCCTTCAAAAACCGTAGGGTTCGGAATGTTTCCAAAATCGATCTCCAACAAAAAAATCAACAACGAATGGATTCGCAACGCTGACTTGCTAAACAAGTTTGCGCGAACGCTCTTGCGAAATCTTCAGAAAACCATCGTTTTTTAAGATCTCCCCAAACAGAATTCCAAACAGGCTTCGCGCGCGAGTCGAAATCTTTCAAACGCCCTTGCGCGCGTGCCGTCGCGAGAATACTCTGCCCAAAAAAAGACGAAGTGCGCGCCCGCCGTCGCGCGCGCGTGCCGAAATCCGTCGAAACACCTTCGCTTTCGGACGGGTTTCCAAATCGAACAAACAAGATGCAACAACACAAGGTTTCGCAGCACAAGTGTTCAACAAAAGCGTGCGCGCGCTGTTGCGTCGGCGTCGTCGTCGTTGTCGTCGCCGTCCTCCCTCTTCCCTCGTCGTCGTCGTCGTCGCCGTCGTCGTCCTCTGTCTTTCCTCGTCTACGTCGTCGTCTTGGCGTCGTCGTCGGTTCCGTCGTCGTTGCCGCCGTGATCGTCCATCCTCCCTCGTCGTCTTCGTCGGCGTTTCGTCGTAGTCCTTCCTCTCTCGTCGTTGTCGTCGTCGGCGTCGTCGGCGTCTTCCCTCCTCCCTCGTCGTTGTCGTCGGCGTCGCCGTCCTCCCTCTTTCTTCGTCGCTCGCGTCGTCGCCGTCCACCCTCCTCCCTTGTCGTTGTCGTCGTTGCCGCCGTCGTCCCCCGTCCTCCCTCGTCGTTGTCGTCGTCGTTGTCGTGTTCGTTGGCGTCGTCGTCGTCGGCGTCGTCGGCGTCGTCATCGTCGTCGTCGGCGTGGTCGTCGTCGGTGTCATCGTCGTCGTCGTTGGGTCGTCGTCGTCGTCGTCGTCGTTGTCGTCGTCGTCATCGATGTCGTCGTCATCGTCGTTGTCGTCGTCGTCGAAGTCGTTGGACACGTCGTCGGTGTCGTTGTAATCGTTGCCGGCAGCGGCGTCGTCGTCTTTGTCGTTGTCGTCGTCATCGTCGCTGCCAAGTGCCATGTGGTACCCACCGTCACGGTCCTAACAAGTATTGCCCCCAAGTTGCGGGTAGGGAGACGGGATGTTTGCACGAGCGCTGGAGAGGGCAACTGCAAGTGGAGCAAGTGAATGATTGCGCCGCGTAG